GGCAAGCCAGTTGAAAACCCTGTTGATACTACCATTGTCAACACCGAAGACTATGCTCCTGGCCGCATTACCAAGGCCAAGGTTGCCAGTGTCAAGGAGAACCAAGTTAATCTTGACCTCGCCGATAATGTCAAGGGCCGCATTCATATCACCGAAGCCTTTAACGACTTTGCCGACATCAAAAACCTGAAGCATCCTCTTCGTCGCATTCGTCATGGTGCCACCATTGATGTTTTGGTTCTTGGATTGCACAATAGCAAGTCACATACATACCTCCCCATTACTCACAGAGGCAAATCTCAAGCCGTTATTGAGTGCTCTCTCAAGTTCAACGCCGATGCAATGGATGTCGATCAGGAAACAATCAAGAAGCCCGTAGAGATCAAGGACCTTTCCGTTGGCGAAGAGTTCACTGCTTTTGTCAGTGAGATTAAGAGCGACAGCTTGATGGTCCATATTGGTACCAACTTGAGAGCTCGTATTGCCAAAATGCATGTCTCACAAGATGTTCAAGTTCTCAATGATCTCAAGTCCCACTTTGTTGTTGGCCAGGCTCTTAACACCAAGGTCCTTTCAGTCGACGAGGAGAAGAACCGTGTTGATCTTACCAACATCACCGATGGCGAAATTGTTATTCAAAACTACGTTACCGATATCAACGCTCTTGACAAGGGTGTCATTGTTCAAGGAACCGTGACCAAGGCTGATCCTGCACGTGGTGTTGTTGTCAAGCTTGGTGAACATCTTTTCGGCAAAATCCATTTGACTGATATTGCTGACGAGTTTGCCCAGAACCCTGCCAAGCAGCTTGAAACTGGACATTTGGTTAAATGCTATGTTCTCGCTGTTGATAAGGAGACCAAGAAGATCGACTTGTCTACTCGCCAGTCTAGACTTGAAGGCGCTGACGCTGTCGCTGACCCTGAAATCAATAGCTTGGATGACATCAAGGCTGACGCCATCATCAAGGGTTACGTTCAAAATGTCGCCGACAAGGGCTTGTTTGTCTTCGTTGGTCGTGATGTCGTTGGTAGAGTCAAGATCTCTGAACTCTCAGATGATTATGTCAAGGTCTGGAAGGCCATGTTCAAGTCTGGTCAGTTGGTTAACGCCAAGGTTTTGTCTGTGAACAAAGAAGCCAATCAATTGGAACTTACTCTCAAGCAAAGCGCTATCGACCCTACCATTGGTCCCAAGAAGACCCTCTCTGACTTTACTGCTGGAGAGAAGGTTGGTGGTGTTGTTACCGCTGTCAAGCCCATTGGTGTTTTCATCAAGCTCGAGAACAGTGTCGTTAGCGGTCTTTGCCACATTTCTCAAATCTCTGATACCACCATCAGTGACATCTCCAAGATTTACTCTGTTGGCGATCCTGTCAAAGCCAAGATTTTGAACGTTGATCTTGAGAAGAAGCGTATTGCATTTGGTCTCAAAGCCTCATACTTTGATGATGAAGACGATAGCGGAGATGAAGAAGATGTCGATGCTGAAGACAGCGAAGCTGAAGATGAAGAAGAGGGTGAAGAGATGGACGTTGATGAAGATGAGGACGAGGACGATGATGACCAGGTTTGTAGTGTTTTTGCCTTGCATATGTTGGTTACATCGCTTCGGTTATACTGACCCTGCCATTTAGATTGACGGTATGGTCAACCTTGCTGATATGGATGATAGCGATGAGGAAGAAGAAGATGATGATGATGAAGTAACTCAAGATATCACCATGGATGATAGCGATGAAGAATCAGTCGAAGCTCTCCCCGTTGCTGCAGGATTTAGTTGGACTGGTGAAACTGCTCCTGCTGCAGAAGAAGAGTCAGATGAAGATGTCCAAGAATCCGATGCTGATGAACCATCTAAGAAAAAGAAGAAGAAGTCCAAGGAAGTGGTTGAAGATAAGACTGCAGATCTCTCCTCCCAAGCTCCACAAGTTGCTGCTGATTACGAGCGCTTGCTTTTGGGCTCACCAAACTCTTCTTACCTCTGGATCAATTACATGGCTTTCCAACTTCAACTTTCTGAGGTTGATAAGGCTCGTGAAATCGGTGAAAGAGCTTTGAACAAGATCAGCTTCAGAGAAGAGCAAGAAAAGCTCAACGTCTGGGTAGCTATGATGAACCTTGAAAATACCTTTGGTACCACGGAAAGCCTTGAAGCTGTCTTCAAGAGAGCAATCATTGTATGCGAACCCAAGAAGGTCTATCTTCAGCTGGTCAAGATTTACGAACGAAGCAACAAGACTGATGTACGTATATACTCTACTTTGACAAGCATGAGTTCGTCCTTTTCAAACATCACATATTAACCAATTCATTCCATTTGGAAACTATAGAAAGCTGAAGAACTCTGGAACCTCACCGTTAAAAAGTTCAGCCAGTCTTCCAAGGTCTGGACTTTGTTCGGCATGTTCTATTTGCAACAAAACAATGTTGAGGGAGCTCGTGAGCTTTTGCAGCGATCTTTGCAATCTTTGCCCAAGCGAAAACGTGAGTGTGAAATGCTATTTGGACTTTTTTTATACAACCAAACTAACTTTTCTTAACCCACATCAGACATCAAAACGATCGTTAAATTTGCTCAAATGGAGTTCAAGTTTGGTGAAGCTGAAAGAGGACGAACCATTTTCGAAGGTGTCATGAGCAACTATCCTAAGCGAGTCGATCTTTGGTCTATCTATCTTGATATGGAGATTCGAGCGGGTGAACAAGACATCATAAGGTAAGAGCGATGTTTGATAGCAACAATAATGGTTTTTGCAACATATCAACATGATACTTTTTTTGTTGTTGTAGACGATTGTTCCAACGTGTCACCAGCATGAAGCACTCTTCCAAGAAAATGAAGTTCTTCTTCAAGAAGTGGTTGTCTTATGAAAAGGATCACGGTACAGAGAAGGATATAGACGAAGTCAAGAAGAGAGCATTAGCATATGTTGAATCCATCAGTTCATAGAGAAAATCCCACCCGAATTTCATTTTCATAATAATTGTACCATAAAAAGTCATTTTCATCAATTTCATCATCACCGAGGTGTATTACTTTTTACCTTTTTGTCTTCCAATGCAGTCATCAAGTTCTTTTGCAAACTATATTTCACCGTATTCTCCAGACCACTATTCCACTACTGTTGGAGCGCACAGTAAGCATTCAAACGACCAGCATGGGGTTATCTCTTGATCTGTACTAAACTAACCTGCGACTTTGATTGACTCTTTTTTTCCAGGTAGCATCAGTCTAGATGAGGTACAAACCTATCCATTCCGTCATAAACATCAACATTAGAACAGGCATTAACCCTGATTTCCCTCTCTAGGAAGTCAAGCTGTTCACCAATAACAAAAATCGTGAAAAGTACGACAACATGGCCGATCTCTTCTCGATCATTGTCCTCATGGAGCATCTCGAGAAGGCATTCATAAGAGACTCTATCACAGCTGACGAGTACGTTTTTTTTTGGAGTACTTCTTTTCGTACCTTTTTACCAACCTTGAAGCTAAATTTATATTCCTCTAGATATACCCCACAGTGCTCTAATCTCATTGCAAAGTACAAAACTGCCCTCAACTTTTTATCAGATACTGTCACTGACCTCGAGTCCTTCATGGCAAAATACAAGGTAGAGTAACAGTCAAGCTTATAGATTTTCGACCCCTTTTTTACAAATGCTTACTGCCAACATAGCTGAGCTGCCCGGCTGCAGTCATCCGCTTCAAAATAGGTGTCCCTGCAACATACGAGCATGCTATCGGCGACCCGAGCAAGGATACAGGCAAATCAGCGAAATACGTCGCTGAAGTAGTTCAGGTAAATGGTACTTTGAATCCACTAGTACCTGTTAGCACGTTTTATTAATGCGTTTCAAACAGCACTTTATCACTCTTATGGACACCTTGAAGTTGAATATATATGCGGCAGACAGCTTGCATCCCATTTTAGCGGACCTTATCCAATCCCTCAACAACGTATCCACACTTCCAGCTGACTTTGATGGAAAGGCAAAAGTGAAGAGTTGGCTTATTACGCTCAACGGTATGAAAGCAAGCGATGAAATTTCAGAGGAACAGGCTCGGCAGATGCTTTTCGACATGGAACGTGCACACACCGAGTTCTATCGCATTTTAAGTGGAGAGAGCAGCCCGAAGGAGTCAGGAGCCTAGTGGAGGAAGGTTTTGCGTCGAGCTAATATTGTCTGGTTGAGGGCCAAATGGAAATTTAATCGTAGCAGTCATACATTTAGCGGTACTGTTGACGTTGTGATTTCGCTGTGCACAGTTCTAATGGCCTCTTGTACATGTATATATTTATTGTTTGTAACCTTTACAGCTTTGCCATGACATCTGCTATTGCAATATATATCACATAAAGATAATCCGCTGTTTTTGATTTACTCTTTTAATGGTTGGTTGTGTGGTTTTCGATGAGCATGATTGCTGCATAAGATGCTGTGCCTGAGGCGTTTCACCTGGAACGACCCTCTCTCATTTCGTATCCACTGAATAGTCGCATTTGAAGCAACAAAATTGATTATTTTATTTGCAAGTCAGTTTTTTTACCAGGTCCATGGCATATCTCAGACCTTCAGGAGGCGCATATATGCAGTTTAACTGCTGCCAGTACACGGTTGAAATGTTGAATGGTATCGCATTTAGTTTGAAGTTTACAAAAGAGATCAGGGTTGATTTATCTCATAAGAACTCGCTATCAATTTGACCTTTCTCACTAGTTTTTAAGCGTGGCATATTACGTTCTACCCGCTTCATCAACCTGACTGTCCTGCGGTGGTCGGCTTTTGAAACGTCCATCATAAAATGATATATCGAGTAGAGTATTGCTGATTTAAATTTCTTTAAAATTATATCAAAGCATCTTCATAAATCAGGCTACGCTTGGTACTATATATACATATGTTAGACTGTTGTAGCTCCCAGAACAGATACATTTTATACAACATTATGATTATCTTCCAACATAACAAAATTCAAAATCTCCGAAAAATGAATGGTGAGATGACCGAGTTGGTCTAAGGTGCTAGCTTCAGGTGCTAGTTTCTTCGGAAGCGTGGGTTCGAATCCCACTCTCATCAACCTTTTGATTCGTCACGCATCGAAACTCCGATCGATGGCTTATATGCAAGGTCCGTTCCACGTTCATATCTTTTTTGGTGGTTGAATAAACGGGACAAGTTTTAGACAAGAAAGTGGTCATCATTGACTCCAAATGCAGTGCCGTCTGATAGCCTTGAAATCGTTTGAGACAATCGTTGATGCGATTACTAATCGACAGCTTTTTTCTCTTACACACGACCTCGAAAGGATGCGTGTAACGGTTACAGCGATCATGTTGGTATGTATAGCGCTGAAGATATAGGTCATGGCATGATTGGGAAATGTGACTAATGCGTGCTGTAACGCTTGTGAGTATGCAGCTACTCATACATCCGATTCGAAGTAGATTCTCTGTACATATGGGAAACCTAGCATAAAAACTCATATGCATTCGATATGCTCACAAACATACAAACCAAGGCGCATACAGTACAGCAAACGAGATGATTTCAACTGCTTTACCACAGTCAATTTATTGGAAATAGGATGATATTGATTGTACGGAAAACTAAGGGAGTGACGCAAGAAGCTCAGCTGCGACCTCAGTGGTATAGGCTGTGATTTGACCATTTTCGGTACCGATGCAGTAGGCATTAGCCTGACCAGGTTTGGGAGCTTGCCCGCACACCTGGTTGAGGGTAGCCTTCGGTTGGTTGGCAGCTACGACATTGTTGAAGAGAATGGTGAGAAGTTAACGTTGAAAGCTGTTTGCTTGAATCACCTTTTTTTCTATTACTCAGGGCAAGCAGCTTTGAAGCGGTAGCAAAATTCATCAACGGTTTGTCCACTCTCAGGTTCTAATGTATCAGCCGATAGTCAGCGGTCATGGTGATAGTGACAAGAAGTAGGACAACGAGGGCAGTCAGACGGTTCATCATGGTGTAGCTTATGGTCAAACATGGTAAAAAAATAATTAGAGCGATGGTTTAAATACCATTGACCAACCACCCCATAACTATTTTTATCAAAGCTGCATAGAGGTCCAACAGAGAGGTCGATCGCAAGGCATCTTCTATAATAGTGTCAGGGTACACTCATTGTCAGGGAATATTTATGGCTCCTGGCTAGAACCTTGTTTAGCGAAGGCACACACACCAAAGCTAGCCTTAATTTTTTTAAGCTGCGAACTTCGGGCGTACGAAGTGAAATTAAATACAGTGAGTAGCTTATCAATATGTCAATTGAAACGTCGGATGAAAAATGTAACAGACCACAAGAGAAGCTGGGGGGTGTTTACCAGACAATGCATGCATTTTTTGTGACAGCTTTGCCTGTCTTACATTTTGTAGAACTTGGTATTCTACTACTGCGATCATAAGGAGCTATAAATGCAGCAGGTCGAAATGGATGTATATATACTCCTTCAAACTATCCTATTTTCTCTCGACATATTGAACATTGTGGACTAAACTGAAGAAATAAAAAAAAAAAAAAGGGAAGCATCGGTACGCTTAACCAAGGTTTGGGGCGACACCGTGAAGGATGAAACCAAGCTTAAGGGCCAGACGCGGATTGCCCCACTGAAAGGCAAGCAGTCTTATTTGAAGACCGACTTTTTAAGAAGGGAACACCAGAACCAATACTTTTCGGTGAAACTTGTAAAGTTTAAGCCGCGCAATCACTGATCTTCGCTAGCTCCACTTGCAACCCGGTTGGCGATTTGGCTGGCTATCAGGTCACCCGTCGCGTGTGGTAGCGTGCAATTTTGGGATGGAATTTTCACGTGCGTGTCACCTTCAAAGGCTATTGTAAAACGTGAACAAGCGTCAGCTACGACCGAGAGGGCAGACATCTGATTGGCGCTTCCGACACTGCGACCACATCGGTTAGCGAGGGGATCGGAGTCACAATCCTATCGGCCGAACGAATAGGACAGGGGCATTGTCAGGGCTTTGGATAGTGTATTTTGATGAGAATGAAGCCAACGTTTGAGATAAAAGGTGATCTGGGCTCAAGGTTGATGATTCCATGGATCAAATGCCATGTTAACATAGAGTCTTGGGTTTATCCTGACTAGCATCTATCAATGCCTAGAAAGTACAGATTCCGCTGAGTCTAATTGAGACACCACACAATTTTCTTTTATTTAAAAATTTTAAATGAGGTGATCTTTGTTTCCTTTGCCCTTTACTCCAATATGCCACCACAAGTAGCTGAAGCACCAGGTAAGCCAATTAGCCTTAGATACGCGGCTATAACAAACTGGTCACTCACACAGACTCGTTCTTTGTTTTCAGAACGTCGCATCTTCTCGAGACAGGAGATTGCAGCTCTTAACAGCGAACTCAAGAATGATGACCGGGGTGATGCCATGAAGTTCACCATCATTGACAATAAGATTTATGATGTTAGCGACTTCGTTCATGAGCACCCCGGTGGTGCTCAAGTCTTGTTGACTCAACTTGGCAAGGATGCTACAGGTACCTTTTTTTTTCTTTTGGGCATACCGGCGAGCTTCCAAATTTTTTTTTATTTTTTTTCGTCCAATTTGTTGGGGTGGAATCGAAAAATGGAAAAGCTAATTTCTTGTGGTGATTTTCCTTCTTTTTAGATGTATTCCATGCTATGCACCCAGCTTCTGCCTATGAAGTTCTCGCCAACAACTATGTTGGTGATTTGGCCAACGACGTATCTCTTCCCAAGGGCAACAACACCGCTTTTGCTGACGAAATGCGTGATTACAGAGACAAACTCGAGGCTCAAGGATTTTTCAAAGCCGACAAGGGCTTCTACGCTTATAAATTGGTCTCGACCGTCATGATCTCCGTGCTCTCTTTGGCTATCCTTCGCGCCTATGGCCATTCCACCACTGGTGTTCTTGTTTCAGCCTTTATCATGGGTATGTTCTGGCAACAGTGCGGTTGGTTGTCCCACGATTTCGCTCATCACCAAGTGTTTGAGGATCGTTCTTTGAACGACGTGGTGGTTGTTTTCCTGGGAAACTTGTGTCAGGGTTTTTCCCTCTCATGGTAAGTCAGCAGCATTGTACAAGACTCCACCTGTGGGAAACCATGATTCACTGATAACGTTTCCTTATGGCGATTTAGGTGGAAAAATAAGCACAACACTCACCACGCCAGCACCAACGTTCATGGTCAAGATCCCGATATCAACACCGCCCCCATTTTGTTGTGGGACGAATATACTTCATCTGACTACTACTCCAGCCTTTCAGCAGAAGATAGCGGTGTTGCTAAATTCATTGCTCAAAATATTATTCCCAACCAGACTCGTTACTTCTTCTTCGTCCTTGCTTTTGCTCGTCTTTCATGGGCTCACTCTTCGCTTTTGTACTCCTTCAAGAAGGGCTCCATCAACAAATCAGCCATGCTTAACTTCTTTGAATGCGCTGCTATTGTTGTTCACTGGACCGTTTTCAGCGCCGTTACCTATTTCTGGATCGATAGCGCTATCAACCGGGCTCTCTTCTTTATCGTAAGCCAGGCCACCACTGGTTACGCTCTTGCTCTTGTTTTCGCCCTCAATCATAGCGGTATGCCGGTCATCAGCGAAGAAAAGGCCGAGGAAATGGAGTTCTTCGAGATTCAGGTTATCACTGGCCGTGATGTTCAGAACGGTCTTTTGGGTGACTGGTTCTGCGGTGGTCTCAACTATCAAATCGAGCATCATGTAAGTGCTGAACTAAGAAACAAAAGTTGTATGCGTTTGATTAAGACACAGTGAACTGATCAAACTTTCCCCACTCTAGATTTTCCCCAACATGCCTCGTCACAACTTGAAGAAGGTTCAACCCAAGGTTATCGAGATGTGCAAGAGACACAATGTCCCATACCATCTTACTGGCTTCTGGAAGGGAACTTTGGAAGTCTTGCAAACTTTGGATATCGTTCAAAAGGTGTCTGCCAAGTTGAGCAAGAAGGCATTTTAGATGAATAGGATATACCATCTTTGTCATTTCTACTTGTGCTAGGCCACAGCTTGATATATTATTATTGTAATCTTTCTGCTTTCACACTTTCGTTTACCCACCATTTGGATCCTTTCACCAGCTTCTCACCACATTATTTGTTTTTTCTAATTCTGCATAACAAATCATTTTTTTATATCAGTATTTGATGGTCTGGCTAGCAAATTTTTTTATCTAGACCGACCGGCTGTTAGAATAAATCAACGACTGAAAATTGTAATTACGGGATGGATAGGGTACGGATAAAACAAATGCGAGGGGTAGTAGCGAAGAGGAAATCATATCATTTAGAGAGGATGATAAAGAAATGTGTCCTTGTCGTAGAATAACGTAGGTTCATCTTCAGTGGGTGGTGGTGAGTGGAAGTGGTTGCGGAACGGCCAAGTCTCCTTTGGTCCATATGTCCATTGGGCAATTTGGCAAAGACACATTCTTGAGTTGACGATTCTCGTCAAATAATCCCCAATAGCTTTCTCTTGTTTCATTGAACATCCATTGCTTCCAGGGTTCGTCCTTGAACTCAAACCAATAGTAAGGCAAACCACGTCTGTTCGCCTCGCATACATAATCATCCATAAATCGTTGTAATTGTGGAATACCCGGGATAGCACCTTGAACTGAGCCATTGGGTGGGAACGATGGCCATCCGATTTCACTGATGACAGCTGGTATTTGAATGTTATTGGTCTTTGCATATTGTATGGTGGGGTACTGGTCGACTTCATAGTAATATTTCCACGTCCAATTAGCAGCGGTTTCAGCAGTTGTGCCTCCGAAAAACGGGTGGACGTTGTCCATTAAAGCATCCTCATGAGGCAACAACTTATCCAAATCATTGATTTCCGTTGTGTAAACCGGGATATGCGTTTGTCCTTTGTCTGCCAGCGCTGACCGCATTTGGTCCATCTTACTAACCAAATTATCCACGGTCGCTTGTTTTCGGAAAATGGCTGTAAACATTTGCGACGTTTTTAGAGTTAGAAACATTCTAACTTTATGGACACGGAGGATTAACTAATATATCGACGAACCTTCGTTGCCAATGGAGAC